AAAAAATACCATATATTATATTATAACATCTAAAAAAGTAACAAACGAGAGCAAAAAAGCTTCCCATACCGGGAATCGAACCCGGGCCTTCTGGGTGAAAGCCAGATATCCTAGCCACTAGACCATATGGGATGGGCGGATAAYTTGTGCTAAAATACATGTTTTCAACTAACGCCTTCGTTATTTTGAAATGTTACATTATTATTTATATTATGTATAATATAAATCAAGACAAAATACGATACTTTTTGGCCAGCTAAGAATAAATACATAAGAAATAAAATTAAGAACTTAATTAAATTAATTAAATTAAAAATAACATAATTTTGTTGTTTGTGTTTAAATACGGAGGGTACTCAAAATTACTTCGCTTTGATTTTATTAACTTTAATATATGTAAATACATTAGAGCGGATTAATTTATGGGAACCAAAAACGGAAAAATCGCTTATTCGAGATTCAAAGGATTTGGAAGGGGTTATAAAAATTTGTTCGTCTGTTTTTGGCATATACGAATGAAATTAAACACCTAGAATGGGTCAAATCGAACAACCATAACACAGATTTTCCATAATAAGCGATTATTTAAATTTTTTAAACTTCGCTCGAAATCGGTTTTAGACAAATAGTCTGACAGCCAAAGTTGTTATGTACCATTTGTTCTTTAAACTTCTCGCATACGCGATTAAGAATATTTTATAGAAAAAAATCGACCAACTCTAATGTACACACAAATAGCTGCATTAAAACGGTGGGTGAGTAGCGAACCGATCAAACAATTGCTATAATCACGAGGTAGCAAGTTTGTAGGACTTTATTGCGATATCCCCATATAATACGTTCTTCTAACACATTCTACTGGCAAAATAATTTCCATATCTATAATCCAATTTGTATAATTTCTTCTAAGATTATACCGTTTATATATTTATAGGTTCATTGACGCTTCTTTCTGCGTATTAGCAGCATCTCGGCAACTTAATATACTCTGTGCAGGATATAGAAATGCCCAAACAGATTAAAGCCACGCTAACTTTTCATATACATATTATTTCTCACCAAATACTCGTACTTAAATATTAAGCAATTAAGACGACAAGTCGTACTCGTGGCACTGCTATGTGCAATAATCTTGTCGAAGCATTGCAAGATGACCTTGCTGCAAATTTTAGAATTCTCAGTCAAAAATATACTTGTATACTTTTCAGAACGCTCATTTAAGAGGTTGAGTGCCATCGATGAATTGCAAATTTATATATAT